TTAAAAACATGTTGTACAAGCAAAAATTTGTAGCAATTGTGGAATAATATAACGGGAAGTCGGAAAAACCTCAGAATCTGGACATAATTGAACTGTCTTTTTTTTTTACGGAATGAAAATTGAGAAATTTCTTAACAAAAGATGAATGGGTTTTAGACTTTTAGTTATTAATTTTCCAATCCCTTCGTTATGCTTCACAATGAATATCCTTGCCTGCTTTATATAATAGAAAGATTCCACAAAATTTTCATGATAAAAAAAAAGTTGAAGATCACAAATACATTCTTAGTACTAAAGCCCGATCCGTACAGACAAAAGACATTTTCTGATAGTTGATTAGCTCACTTCTCTTTACTATTCTCTGAGCAACCAGAATCAGAATCTATGATTCTCACAACAAAAAACAAATCGAAAGTTTATACAATGGAAAAAGATATTAATAGTAAACGATTTTGATTAATTTGAGAGAGAACCCCAAAAAAAAAAAAGTGACAGTAATACCATTTTTATCGATCTAGGAAGTGATCATATAATCTTCTCCTCAAACTCCATGTCGCTCTGCTGCTGTTTCAGCTAATCTCTTCCATGTAAATTTTTTTCCCACTGAAATTCTGATATTTTGAAGTACAATCTAGGTTTATATTACATGTAGTGGTAATATCTAATCATATACTGAAGACATACCCGTACATGTAAAGCAGTGAAGATATTTGTCATTATCTAGAGGATTGAGTAGTCATATGTTTTTGTCAACCACCTCGTGCTCTGGTCGGGACTGTACGGTATCATTAAATGCTTGTTCAAACTTTCTGTGCACCGTCCCATGTCCCGTACCTTACGACTTATACATAACCCTGTAACAGGGTTCGATCCTCCTTACGGGCCCCATCAGACTCATTTGTATTATCACAAACATATAAAGATTGAATACTATGTGCAACGGATTTAAACTTGTACAAGTGAGACCGTGAGAATACTGGTTACCTTAAGTAGTCGTCAGTAACATCCATAATATAACCTTACGACTTATTAGGCGATTGGGTAATACAACTTGATTCTTTAGACATTTGATTACACAAACACATTTAAAATCTAGGGACTATAACTAAGGCATGGCTTTCGTTAGGGGTGGGACGGATCGGATATCCGGGGTATTTCAGGATATCCGGATCCAGATTTGGGGGATCCGTAAAATTACTATCCCGATCCGGATTCGGGTCATCCGGATATCCGGACTAAAACTCGGATACCCGCGGATATCCGGATCCGGTTTATTTAAAAAAAAAAATAAAAAAAAAATTCAAAATTCAGTATTTATTTATTTTATTAAAAATTATTATTTTCAAAAAATTTAAATTAAATAATAGAATTTATTAACAAAATTAAATATTAGTTATATTTAATAAAATATATAATATACCTATATAAATATAATTATATTTTAAATATTTTTTAAATATTTAGTGGGCCCGGATCCGGATCCGGATATCCGGACTAAAATTTTCACTATCCGGATTCGGATCCGGATTCGCCGGATCCGTGAAATCATTATCCGGATCCGGATCCAGACCCCCCGGATATCCGTTTTTTTGGAGTGGATCGGATCGGATCCCGGATCGGATAGCGGATCCCGGATATAAGTCTCAGCCCTAGCTTTCGTAAAGAAGATGTTGCAAATAATCTAAATGCACGTGTATAACAAACAATATGTCACTCGCCCCGTACAAGGACACTATAGTAGGAGAATTATACGAAATTATAATATTTTTTGTAAAATTATAGATATTTTGTTTCTAAAACTTAATCTATATTTTAATAATACTTTTTTAGATTTTAGTTTATCAGTATAAAAACCTAAATAATCATTGTAAGGTGTTTTATATGGTTTGAAATTTTAAATTTATATTATTCAGATTTATTTAAGTTTTATTATATTTAATTGATTTATTAACTGACTTTAGTTAAAATACATTAAAGTAATGAAAGTAATTTATTAATTACCTCAATGAATTGATTAACATAACATTCACCGAACGAGCATATTTTATGGATATTATACGCATATAAATTATATAATTTGAAGGTTTTATTAGTTTATTTTTCTTGCACTGATTCAAAAAATAATTCAAATCTTTAATTAAATATGGAAAAGTATAAATATATACAAATTTATTTTTAAATTCGAAGATGATGTGAAAAAATTATATACTTTTAATTATGTTATTAGTTCAATTCTAAGCTGATGTGAAAATTTTATATATTATTAATACTAAACAATCACTTGGAAAATAATTGTGATGATTTTCAAGTGTTGTAGAATATTTTCGCAGCCAAATGTTTTTTCCTAAACCACAAATCTTTACCAATCTTGTTTTATAAGAAAATTATTAAAGCTTAAAAATTGTATTTTTACTCTTTTCATCATATTGTGGCTCTATAAAATTTACAAGTGAATAACTAAATATTCTCAAATTTACAACCAAACTCCAACCGCAAAATATTTATAACTACAGCAAAAAAAAAAAAATCTACATCACTAATTCTATAGTAAAATATATAGTAAAAATCTATAAATAAATAATGTTAGGACTTTGGTATTTTATTAATTTATAGAGTTATTAATTTACAAAAAGTTTTCTTTTTAGATTTTTTTCTATTTTAAGATATATTGTTTTCTAAAAAAATATTTGATTCTAATGTATATACGTTAATTAACTTTTTAAAATTCCAGATTTATAGTAATTTATTAATACTATTTGGTGTATATAAAATATGTTACATATAATTTAAACGTAGTTTTAAATATAATTTTATGAAAACTTATCAAAATATAATAAGTGTTGAGAAATATAAAGATAATTTTAATGTGAATGTAAACAAAATAATATAATAGTTGGTTCGTAATTTTTATATATTTTTAATGAGATCATATATTTACATAGAATTTTCTAAAAAAAATATATTATCTTATTATTTTATCGATTTGTGTTCTATTTTGAACCAGTCCAATTTGGAATGAGAGAAATTTTTAATTTATCGAATATTAATTTATAGAGTTTCCACTATAAAGATGCCACTCTTACCAATTAAGCCCAATATTAGGACAAGGATTTTCATTATTAAGGTGTAGGGAGCACTTTCCAAATACACACTATGGAACAAAATATCATTCTAGCTTTTCTATTTTAAGATATATTGTTTCTAAGAAAAATATTTGATTCTAATGTATATAAATTAATTATTTTTAACATTCCAGATTTTTAGTAGTTTTATTAATAAGATTTATTGTATATGAAATATATTACAGAGAATTTAAATGTGGTTTTAAATATAATTTTTACTATATCTTATCAAAATATAATAAGTGTTAAGAAGTATAAAGATAATTTTAATGTGAATATTAAAAAAAAATATAATAGTTGATTTGGAATTATATAAAATATTTATACATATTGATCATTAATTTATAATTTTAGTGATACCATATATTTTCATAGAATTTTCTAAAAAAATAATATTTTATTATTTTATCGATTTGTATTTTATTTTGAACCGGTCCAATTTGGGATGAGAAAATTTTCTATTTCCTCCGTTTCATTTTATTTACCGTTTTAGGTTTTTTCACACGGA